GGGATTCCTCTGGGGAAGTTCTTGTGCTTTTACAACCAGCGCTGGATGTGCATTAAGGGTTCGGCGTGGATCACTCCGCAGTGTCAAAATGTGCGCTATGCATAGTGAGCAAAGAAGCAAAACGAATTTGTGGGGTGGGGGGGGGGGAGAGGCTTCTTTGCGAATCCTTCGCCTCTCCCTCCTCAGAGAGGCCTTCCTGGCACTTCGAGGCCTGCCCCTGTGCGTTACCGTGGCAGCCGAGACGCTTCGGAGGAAAGAGCAGGAGGGCGCGCTTAGTTCCCTCTCCCGGCGCTGCGCTCCGTGTGGCGAACATGCCCGCTTGCGGAACGCGCCGGAAGATTGATGTGACGTCGTATTGAGCGGGAGGGCCGAGCCGGTTCCCTTATTTGTAGCCGTTTGTCTACGTTCCAGTTCGCCATGCCCGTAAATCACTTGCCAGATGCAGCTGCCTCCCAGCGCACGCCTTTGCCGACAGGCGGGTTAAGACGCCGAAGCAGGAGCCGCTGCCGCTGCCACCCTGGCCCTGCCACATGTGTGCCAGGGCTGGTAATTGAGTTGGGAAGTCCTCGCGAGGGACCTGACAGTCCTGGCGGGCAGCTTGTCTGCCATGTCAAGTAGGGGAAGAGAGGGAGCTGAGATCTCCATCCTTGTTTTTGTGTGTTTTGAGGTTTGGACACTTCCCACCTCGCATATAAATGGACTAATTAAGACGCAAGGAACGTTGGTGGGGAGCGTGGCGGCGGCGGCTTTTGACCCCCCCATTCTTCACAGAGGTTGCTGGGGGGGTCGGCGAAGCAGCGCTGAGGTTTAATTGGCCTCAGGGAGCTGGCGGGTGACGGATAGCGAGGCAGGATTTTTTCCTTTCTTGCATCTGATTTCTTCTTCTCTTTCCCCCGCCCCCAGGGAAAGGCCTTTTGTTGCTCAGCCCTTTGATAGCTCCCTGCCTTTCGTCTCCCTACTGAGATCCTTCGTCTCATTCTCTCTCTGCACCCTTTCTCCCTCATATAAAAAAAATCCCCTCGCTTTCTTCTCAGCGTAACTTTTGTTCTCTTCCTTTCCCCTCTATCCTTGGTTTGCTTTCCATCTGCCTGGGGCTGGAATTGGCAAGCCGGCTGCGGGAAGCCAGTGGTGGGCTTTGCAAGAGCAGGCTTTGATTCATTCTGTCGGGAGCTGGGCCATGCAGGCTGCCCAGGACCAGTTCCCATCGCTGCAGAGCAGGAGTAGGCATAAAAACAGCATGCACAGGTGTCAAGACTCTGCCCTGGCTGAGGGAGCCCAGCCCAGCCCGGAGCTGTAGTTGTTGTTGCTTAGTCGTTTAGTCTTGTCCGACTCTTCGTGACCCCATGGACCAGAGCACGCCAGGCACTCCTGTCTTCCACTGCCTCCCGCAGTTTGGTCAAACTCATGCTGGTAGCTTCGAGAATACTGTCCAACCATCTCGTCCTCTGTCGTCCCCTTCTCCTTGTGCCCTCCATCTTTCCCAACATCAGGGTCTTTTCCAGGGAGTCTTCTCTTCTCATGAGGTGGCCAAAGTCTTGGAGCCTCAGCTTCACGATCTGTCCTTCCAGTGAGCACTCAGGGCTGATTTCCTTCAGAATGGAGAGGTTTGATCTTCTTGCAGTCCATGGGACTCTCAAGAGTCTCCTCCAGCACCATAATTCAAAAGCATCCATTCTTTGGCGATCAGCCTTCCTTATGGTCCAGCTCTCACTTCCACACATCACTACTGGGAAGACCATGGCTTTAACTATACGGACCTTAGCCTGGAGCTATATGTGCTAGTATAGGTTGGTCCTCCAACATCGCCTGATTGCCAGGGGGGTTCCCCTCAAAGCCAAATCTAGTTTCCCTGCTTTTGATCAGCAGTAGCTAGCCTTGGGACGTAATTAGGGCTGGGCAATATATTGATACATCATCACAAACTGGTTTGGAATCTGTATCGTGATGTCAGTTTCATAATTTTTGACCTGGCCATATATTGCAAATCATGATGTGTGTGTGTGTGCTATGCAGAAACCACAAGGCTGGGAAAACAAAGAAGCCAGCCAGTGTTCCTACATAGCTCCCTCCTTATTCCAGACATTGTGATATACAGTGGCACCTCGGGTTACATACGCTTCAGGTTGCATACGCTTCAGGCTTCAGACTCCGCTAACCCAGAAATATTACCTCGGGTTAAGAACTTTGCTTCAGGATGAGAACAGAAATCATGCCACAGCAGCAGCGGGAGGCCGCATTAGCTAAAGTGGTGCTTCAGGTTAAGAACAGTTTCAGGTTAAGAACGGACCTCTGGAACGAATTAAGTACTTAACCCGAGGTACCACTGTATTGGTATATGGCAGTGATATATCACAACGTTGAAAACCAGATAATCGGCCAGCCCTAGACGCAATTGATGCCTCCCAGGCATGAAGCCAGGCTCAGGGTTCATACCAGGCAGTGTGGGGCAGTGGGTAGAGTGGGGCCACCCATTGAAGTGGCCTGCAGCAGATCCGACCAGCCTCTTGCCTCTCCAAATCATCTTTGCATCATTCTAAGCTGCTGGCATCGCAGTGGGCTTGCTTGTCGAAAGATCCAGGTCCAGATCTTTTTCCTACCATGAAGGTGATAACCATTACTTATATTCACCTGTCAACGAAAGCAACTTACATTAAAAAACAACAACAACAAATCCAGAGGTAACAAAGACAATAAAACCAGGAGTGAGCGAAAGCTAAGACACTCGTCCAAAGTACGTACTTTGGAGAACAAATCCTGCCCACCCCATTATAGGATGAGTACAAAAAAGGAGAGGATCTTTTGAAACATGTTGCTCTGTCTGTCAGCCTAACCCAGGGGTCAGCAAACTTTTTCAGCAGGGGGCCGGTCCACTGTCGCTCAGACCTTGTGGGGGGCTGGACTATATTTTGGGAAAAAAATATGAACGAATTCCTGTGCCCCACAAATAACCCAGAGATGCATTTTAAATAATAGGACACCTTCTACTAAAGTAAAAACACGCTGATTCCTGGACCTTCCACGGGCCGGATTGAGAAGGCGATTGGGCCGGATCCGGCCCCCGGGCCTTAGTTTGCCTACCCATGGCCTAACCCACTGATGGCTACTGCTAATGATGGCTGCATCCTGGCTCCGGGCTCAGAGGCAACATGCCTCCCAAGGCCAGTCACTGGGGGAGAACAGCAAGAGAAGGCTGCCGCGCTCCTGCCCTTGCTTGTGGGCCCCCTTCAAGGACCTGTGGGAAGGCAGGGGCTGGACCAGATGGGCTTTGGATCTGGCCCACCAGGGCTCTCCTTCCTTCCTTGGGAAGCTGTGATTCAGAGGTTGCCTGTCACTCAAGACTCCCTGCGAAAGTGTAGGCATGACGAATAGTCAATGGGCTTACTTGAATTATATCCCCGAAGGTGGGAGGAAGCTTTTAGGTGGATTGATGCATGTCTGAGGACAGCTCCCTGCGATCCTGAGGCTGCAGAAGAGTCTCCTTAGTAACCTGTTCGGGAGCTACTGGTACTGTTTTAAATCTGTGTCTCCGGTGACATCTTTCTGGTCCCAGGTACAGTGGTACCTCGGGTTACAGACCCTTCAGGTTACAGATGCTTCAGGTTACAGACTCTGCTAACCCAGAAATAGTACCTCGGGTTAAGAACTTTGCTTCAGGATGAGAACAGAAATTGTGCGGCAGCAGTGGGAGGCCCCATAAGCTAAAGTGGTGCTTCAGGTTAAGAACAGTTTCAGGTTAAGAACGGACCTCCGGAACGAATTAAGTTCTTAACCCAAGGTACCACTGTATAGACTTACCTTCCCACTCCGAGGTGGCACTGTTTTGTTTGTGTGGCTACTGCATGTTTTTGTTGTTGTTGTTTAGTCGTTTAGTCGTATCCGACTCTTCGTGACCCCATGGACCAGAGCATGCCGGGCACTCCTGTCTTCCACTGCCTCCCGCAGCTTGATCGAACTCATGCTGGTAGCTTCAAGAACACTGTCCAACCATCTTCGTCCCCTTCTCCTTGTGCCCTCCATCTTTCCCAACATCTTTCCCAGGGAGTCTTCTCTTCTCATGAGGTGGCCAAAGTATTGGAGCCTCCGCTTCAGTATCTGTCCTTCCAGTGAGCACTCAGGGCTGATTTCCTTCAGAATGGATACGTTTGATCTTCTTGCCGTCCATGGGACTCTCAAGAGTCTCCTTCAGCACCATAATTCAAAAGCATCAATTCTTCGGCGATCAGCCTTCTTTATGGTCCAGCTCTCACTTCCATACATCACTACTGGGAAAACCATAGCTTTAACTATACGGACCTTTGTTGGCAAGGTGATGTCTTCTGCTTTTTAAGATGCATGTTTTTAAATGGGCACAAAGCATTCGAAAACCTTTGGGTAACAAGTCTAATCATAAGTAATAAAGCCATAGTAAGAAACATGGGGCTCTGGTGCATTGCCACAGGAGAGAGTCTGTTGGAAGCATCAAGGGCAAGCATTGCCACCCCCCTTGCCACACACACACACACACACACACACACACACGTCTGGGAGATGGGCAGGGATTGCTTTTGCTGCTATTTAGGTGCTTTGCAATTTATCGTCAAGCATTATTTCAGCATCTGTTAACTTGAGTTGTTTCTTTGGCCTACCAGTGTGACGTTTAGTTTCATAGCTGTTAACGCATCGTCTTGAAATGTTGTCGTACCTTGTGTTGTGCGTTCTTGTGAGCCGTTTTGAGCACAGTTCTGCCATGGAAAAGTGGCCTACACACAAATGATGGCGATGGTCGATTCCAAGGGCAAACCAAAATCGTAGGAGCTGGGGAAGCTGAAACGGACTACAGGTTTCCTCGCAGAGGAGAACTGCCTGCCAAAATCTCCGCCATATGCCACCTTCAACAATGCTGTCACCCTCGAGTGTGCTATTATGGCTTTTTTGGGGGTGGTGAGGACCCTTTTCTCCTCCCCCAGATCTTTAGGGACCCCTTCCCCTTCCAGCATAACCACCTCTCTTCCTCTCCACAGCTCCAGAAATGCATTGCCGCTTCCCAGCTAGCTTCTGACGCCATCTTCCAGTTCTATCGCGATTCGGCTCACAGGAAATACTCCAAGTGGTGACTCTTCACACGCACCCCCAAGTGGAACAGAGCAGAGGCTTGACCGCTTAAAAATGACGCTACGTGGCGTTGGCTGGATCAGCACCACCTCCCCAGCCTTCATTCTCGCCCATCCTTTGCTCCGAAAGGAGAGGTGCCGTTTGATCAGGCTGCCGTTAACAGAGATTGTGGAACGGGCTGTGGGTTAAGATGGCAGGATCCTGAAAAAGCTGGGCCTTCGTTGCCACGGGCTGAGTGCTGCGCGCTGTGGCGCTCCATATCTGCCCTCCCCGAGCACATGGGTTTCCAGCTCTCTCACATTTTGATAAGCACGTGTCTCTCCCCCCCCCACACACACACTCCCCAATGAAAGACATTGTTTCCGCACAGATTGCGAGGTGGCTGTCTCTCAGCTTGGCCTAGTTGTGAAGCCAAGTTCTTCCTTTTGGATCCTCTGCTCTCCGCTTTGCCTAAAATAGTTTTTTTTGTCTGTGTGGACATTAAAGAACATGTTTTCCTTTTCTTTTCTTCCTCCCCGACTGTGCTATAAACTGTCTTTGCCTACCCTAATGAAGCAGCGGATAAAAACCTCTCCTGTTTGAAATCTGCAGGCACCCGTGTTGCCTGCTGTCTGACGTTTCCCTCATGCAGTTCATAGAAAAGTTGGAAGGGACCACAAGGGGTCATCTATTCCAACACCCTGCAACACAGAGGCAGGAATCTTTTGCCCAACGTGGGGCTCGAACCCGTGACCTTGAGATTAAGAGCCTCGTGCTGTACTGACTGAGCTTGAGCATTCCCTTTTGAGCCAGTGACAAGCAGTGGTCATAGCATCGGAATCTGGTTCGAATCCCCACTCGGCCACCAAGCTCACGGTCGCACACTTTCTCTGCCTCGCCTACCCAGCGTTTTCCCAGAGCGAGGCTCGCCCTTTGCACTCCAGGTGTGCTGACCCCTGCAGTTTCCCCGAATGTGGGAAACTGGACTATATTATTTGTAAGGTAAAGGTAAAGGGACCCCTGACCTTTAGGTCCAGTCATGGCCGACTCTGGGGTTGCGGTGCTCATCTCGCTTTACTGACCAAGGGAGCCAGCGTACGGCTTCCGGGTCATGTGGCCAGCATGACTAAGCCGCTTCTGGCGAACCAGAGCAGTGCACGGAAAAGCTGTTTACCTTCCCACCATGGCAGTACCTATTTATCTACTTGCACTTTGACGTGCTTTTGAACTGCTAAGTTGGCAGGAGCAAGGACCGAGCAACGGGAGCTCACCCCGTCGCGGGGATTCGAACCGCCGACCTTCCAATCGGCAAGTCCTAGGCTCTATGGTTTCACCCACAGCGCCACCCACGTCCCTATATCATTTGTGGTCAGTGATAAAATTGGGGCGAGGCGTGTGTGCTGCCGTGAGCATCATTCTTAATTCATAATAATACGCATGGCGCTGAAAATGGGAAAACGTAGCCTAGCTGCTTTCAAAGTGCAACAGCTGAGCAATTGGTGCCTTGGGTGGAGAAAGGAATTGCCACCGATGGCTTCTAGCCATGATGACTATCTGGAGGCAGCCATGCTTCTGAAAACCACCTTCTGCTTCCCTGCATAATGCCCTTGAGGTTTGGGGATAGAACTCCCCCTTCATTGCAACCGTCTTCCAAACACTCTGTGCACCTCCGTCATTGCCCAAGCCTTGCGCTCTCTGGATTTCACTGCTCCTATCCAGACTGGGATGGTGTCTGTGCATGAGACAATGCCTGGATTTGCCCCCACCGTTCTCCATTGGATCCTGGCACACCCTTGCTGCTCCCGCTGCGTAATCCATGGGGACAGCCTGCCTTGGATGCCCCACCCCTGCCCCATACACTGAGATGCACCCACCCCTTGCCATTCTCATACATGCCTTGGACCTGGCATATGATGGAGACGTAGAGCTCCACGCAGTCCCCGTGCTCATTAATATTCTGCGGAACTTCCCTGCTTGTTTTTAATTTTGCAGTTTGGCAGCCGCCGGTGGGGAGAGCGCAGCCCCTGCCAAATCGGAGATTGGCAGATACTTCTTCATCGCCTTCCTCTGCCTCGGAACGCAGCAACGTGTTGGTTAAGGTCGGGGAGCGGGGTCTGGTTTGGGAAAGACCTCCTGCCCCCTTCCAAGGGGGATCCTGGGCTCAGATTGGCGCTGCAAAAGTAGAGAGAGACTTGCATTGCGGTTCGATAGCCTTCCTGCCCTCAAAGGGTTGTTCCCAAATCTTGGGGCACAGAAGCTTTCTTTATTGGCGTGAACCCAGCCGACCTTTCCTCCCAGAGCTGGCAGATACTGCTTAATAACCATTTTAATATGGCACTTCGTCTTTTAATCACCCCCACTTTGTCCTTGCAGAGAGATTGCAAGGTTACAGCACATTCTTAGGAGAAGAGAGTCCCATGTTGCTGGCTCCTGAACTTTGGAGATGGGTTTGTGTGTGGATATTTTGCAGATTTACTGGACAGCTCAGCCAAATCTGGTTTCCTGGGGAAGGGTCAGATCCCACTGTTGGCCACCTCAAGTTCCTCTCCCTCACCCTTCCCTTCAGACAACTGGCAAGAGAAGCAGGGGGAGCTGCGGAACATAGAAGGGCAAGAAGAAAAAGCAATAATGGGAAAAAGTAGGGCGGCTTAGGGAAATTGCAGGCTGGGGTTTGACCTCTCCCTCCCAACCCATCCCTTTGAAATGCCCTGGTTAGCTGAAAACTCTGTTTGCAACCTTAGCATTACTGTTTGCATCTCGTCACGCGTGTGTGTGGATATGTAGAAATGCGGGTGGCGCTGTGGGTTAAACCACAGAGCCTAGGACTTGCCGATCAGAAGGTCAGCGGTTCGAATCCCCGTGACGGGGTGAGCTCCCGTTGCTCGGTCCCTGCTCCTGCCCAACCTAGCAGTTCGAAAGCGCGTCAAAGTGCAAGTAGATAAATAGGTACCGCTCCGGCTGGAAGATAAACGGCGTTTCCGTGCGCTGCTCTGGTTCGCCAGAAGCGGCTTAGTCCTGCTGGCCACATGACCCGGAAGCTGTACGCCAGCTTCCTCGGCCAGTAAAGCGAGATGAGCGCCGCAACCCCAGAGTCGGCCACGACTGGACCTAATGGTCAGGGGTCCCTTTTTTTAAGAGGAGGATTTGGGCTGTTCAGCAATATAGATTGGTTTCCAGTTATGTGCCTGTGGAACAGAGCCAACCAACTTGTACTCGCATCGTGTTAGGCGTTGGCTCCTGTGCTTCAGGAGGCAGCTCCCACAGTGTGGTTGCTAAGCCGTATCATCCATCTCCATCAGGTCACTGTAAATGACGAACGATGGGGCTGTCCTTGGGTTAAGTTCCTGGCAAAGCCTGCTACCCCCCTCCCTGGTTTCTTTCCCCAAACTCTTCCCTCCTTCCAGATATCCAGCCGCTCTCTTAACCTTCACCAGCTGCCCTGGGAAGAGGCAAACGGCCCGCTTTGATTAATGAGCCTAATTGAGTTGATGAAATGATCTTTTTTTTTATTTCCCCCACCGGTGCTTTCTGAGGTCTTCATCGTTTCCTTATTTAAACCAGCTGTCCCTCTGGAAAAATCCCCGCTGGCTTCGAAAGGGCAGGATAACATCACCACGCATGCATGCGCAAGCATCCTCCTCGTGTTTCTCCCCCCTGGCCTGAACACCCTCAACCACCAACTCCTCTTCTTCTCCATCTCCTTCTCCTCCTTAAAGGACGGGGTGACCTCGTCTCCCCTTTCCCCTAGTACAAAGCAAGACTCCGTTCCCAACCGCTCCACTCTCTGCCTCCTGCTCTCCGCAATGAATATTCAATCAAGGCTGCGCTATGTATTATTTCCCACTCTTTCTGCCCCACCTCGGCCTCCTTGGGGAAAAAACACTGAGATTTTAATTTGCAGGCTCCATGGGGCAGGTGTGCGGGGGGGGGGCGTGTATGTGTGACAGATGCAGGAGATCAAAGTGAGAGCGCTATCATTCAGGCTTCCTCCGTTTGGAAAGAGGCGATGGAGGCCAGACACTCGTCCTTCTTTGCTCTCTTTTCAATTAGGCAGCCTTTGTCTGAATCGGTTTCCTCTCTCTCCACCCCGCTCCCAAAGGCTCCCTCGCGCTCTTGGGTTTCGATGCCTTCTGATCTGCCTCTTATTCATTAGGCAGCAAATGAAAGAGCAACTGAAACCACCTCCGGTCTTGCCCTGGCACAGCCACGGCTGCTGCCCCCCCCCTCACAAAAATGGACATTGGCTTGCCACCCTGCGATCCGGCCTAGAGGCTTGTTACTGCTCGCACGGCTCCTCCTGACTTCTGGAGCGGGGAAGAGGCTGCGAGCGATAAATTCCACCCACTCTCTTTAAAATCTGCTGCATGCTTTGAGTCAGACCGTCGACTGTGCCAGCCCACGGTGGCAGCCCCCCCCCCTTGCAGCCTCTGCTGAGGACGAAATCCTGAGTGCCCGAGTGATTTGGGGGTCCAGCGGAGAATCCAAGCAGTAAATGTATATTTTTAAGGTCCTACAATCTTGGTTACACAGGCCCAGAAGCGAGCACCCGGCCGTTTCGGAGAATCCTAGTTTTCCTTTTACCAAAGCAATCATGTTTCTAGCCCTGCAGTGAGCAGTTGGGGTTCATGGGCCAAGGGGCAGTTATCTGGAGGGAATTCATTGGCAAAAAGATGATGGGGTGCTGGCTTTAAGTGGCATTTAGAGACAAATTCAGTAGCGGATGCTCATAACTAGTGCGGTTTGCATCAAAATGTTGCAGCGTTTGCAGTGTTCCTGTTCACTGTGCCGGCCAGCTAGCTAGCTAGCTAGCTGACCTTCCTTCAGGATACTCCATTCCGTTCCCCCTACCAGTAAGTTTCTGCCCCTTCTGCAATCATAATTCTGCTGCCGCTGAGCACGCTCTGTCTCCATTGAGCTGTTTTGCCTCTCCTTCCACCCCACTTCAATTTCCCCCCCCTAAATATGTTTTGGCGTGTTTCTGCAAAGCTTGTGTTTCCCAAAAGAAAAGCACTGCTGGATCAGGCAAAAGGCCCATTGAATCCCGCATCCTATTCTCACAGAAGCCACACGGATGCCCGTGGGAATGCTGATCACTGCAAAAGCAGCTGGTGTACAGACACATGCTGCTTTTGACAGTGGAGCGCTGTTTTGACGTCATAAGAGGTGATAGCCACACCGGGATGTCAGGAATCTGGTCAGAATAGCTGATTGGAACCTCCATGTACAGATGCACTGTATCTGTGTCAACAGACTAGGATAAGGAACAGGTGCCCTCTAGGTACCTCAGAAGCGCTGAGCAGCAGGCTTTGCTTCTGTGTCAAGAAGGGAAGAAGCGAGGGAGGGGAACCTAACGGAGCATCAATAAATTGGGTAAAAAAAAAGCTCAACAAATTCTGCGTCCGGATTCTCACTTTTTGAAATATGGCAACCCTAGTTCTCTTCCTCCTCTTCAGTCTCAGTGTTGCTGATGGTTAGAACATAGCAGGTAGAAGGGCAAACTGAGGCTTAGTTGGCTCTGCAGGTCA